CTACTGCTTTAGTAAACATTCTGCATGACTCCCTACACCTGCTGTATATGATTCTTTTTTTTTTGTTTTCTTTTTTTTTTTTTTTTTGTCTTTTGTCTTTTTTCCGTGTCCGGCAACGGATCGCAACCCTCAGTGTTGCCCCCGTACCGGACCGGGGACCGGCAACGGGATCGCAAGCCTCGGTGTTGCTCCCGCGCCTCGCTCAGCCAGTGAGCGGGAGCCGGTCTGTATGTGGGATCCGAACCCTCGGACGGGAGCGCCACCGCGCTTCCCAAGCAGCGCACTATCCAGTGCACCACCGGGCCGGCCCCAATTTGGTTTTCTTGTCTTTTCCTAGAATATTCCAGCCATACCCCCACCCAGGTACCCAGCCCCAGGCTCTTCTGCTTTCTACACCAGATCTTCTCCTTGAAGCATAGTCCCAGACACCTGAGGGCTGGGAGGAGCTGGCACGGAGCAGTACACAAAGGCACTCATTCATTGAAAGAAAGATCTACAGAAAAGTTCAACCTGGTGCCATGATGACAGGTGAGCAGGGAGTCAGGGGACTCCAGCCACAGGTGATGGTGAGAGGGCTGGGGGAGTCATGGTTGGGGGTGGGCTGGCAATAGATGGGGCGAGCTGATACAATTACCATCTCTGTGCCAGTATTGAGGCCGTATGGACCCTTCTGTTCTCAGAAGTGGGTGCAGCCTTCTTCCACAGGATCCATCAGGACCGACAAGTGAGTTTAAATCCCAATGAACAGAGATTAATGTATGCAAAAGGAGCTCCAGTTCCAGCTCAAACATTCCCCTAGGGACAATTCTGGCAAGAGATTTTTCCGAATCCATGGTATGCTGAGGGCAAGGAAGAGAGAGAAATAAGATAAGGGAATCTCTCTAAAAGGAGCTCTGACCCCAGGCCTTAGAAACAGAATCTGTCTTTAAGTCTTTAGATGCTCTGATAAAAAGAGTTTATAAATAATTTAGCACCTCAAGTAATAGATTCTAAATGGCAAACAGCCTGCTGAGTCAAGGGCCATGGAGGCTCCAAGGAAATGAAGGCTCTGGACAGTGAGCTCTGCCAGCACAGGGACTGTGGCTGCCAGCCGCCACCATGCCTCTAGCACCTGCACAGTCCCAGGCCCATGGCAGGTCCTCACGGGCTATTTGAGTGACTCAGTACCTAAGGGAACAAACAAATGAGTAAATGACTTATCATTGAGGGGGGAAAAATGCCAAAAAACAACAACCCATGACCATAATCATGCTCTGGTTTTGCCATAACCAGCTTCTCCCTTGTCAGCCTCTCAGACATAAAGAAAATCACTTCCCAGACTCTGGGCTTCTGCAAACATATGCTAGGAAGCATATTGTATTAGTCAGTTATAAATGACAGAGATGAGACTCAAAAACAAAAATGTTAGGGAAGGGGAGTGATTTATTGGTACACCTACCTGAAAAGTAGTATTACTAGAGTTCCAGGCTACCCCATTGCTCAGTTTTCTTCTACAGGTCAGTCCCATCCTCTCTGGTTTCCCATGACAACACCTGCCTGGAAGACAGAATGACTGCATCCAGAATCCTTATTCAAAAACCCAGACACAGAAAAGAAAATCTCTTCCTTCTCCAGTGTATATAAGACCTAGGAAAGAAACTGATTGGTTGATTTGGGTCATGTGCCCACCCCTTGGACCAAGCCTTTGTGTTCAGTTAAATTTCATGAGCTCTGTTTCTTCATTTGCAAAGCAAGCAGCAAGACCTCACACCTAATATGTACTGAGGATGAAATGAGAAAAATATGTGAAATACTTAGCATACATCATCTGAGACAAAGATGCCAATAAACATTTGCTAAATGAGGAAATTAATTAATTTGAATTTCACAGGTCAGAGAGGACCTGGCTTGATGATCTTATTTCTAATACTCAGGAGCAGAATGAGTTTAGCCATTCTAGTGAAAATAGATGGTGGCACAGTTTAAAGTTCTAGGACAGAAAATTTCAACTGGCCAGGTGTGGGGCATGCACTGGGCAGGGCAAAGCAGAGTTCTCAAATACACATCCATCGTGACTGTGTCACATTGGTCTCAGTCATAGCCAACAAAGAGCCTGGCATTGCACTAAGAGTTTTAGATGTATTTACTCATTCAATTTCTACATCAATCCTATAAGGTCTTAGGTAAAACATCCCCATTTTATAGATGGAAAGTCTGAAGCTCACCAGAGAAGAAAAGTAATTGTCCAAAAGGGAATCAGAATAGTCTTACTAAAAGGTAGGAAGATAAATGCTAGATTGGGAATCAAAAACCAGATGCTCACCACATCTCATTCTAAACCATGGTTGAGCTGCCAGAAACTAACTTATTACTACTTTCCGGTACAAAACTGCCTTCCACCTGGATGGAGAGGTATACCTCTTCCAGACGTCATATGACCCAAGCCTCACCTCAGCATTCTAGGGGAGTGGAGATGGGCACTATCAGCTCCTTTTGTGGATGGAGAAATGAGCTGAGAAAGTTTAAGTAATTCAATTAAGGCCACATAACTATCAAAATGGTCAGAGCCAGGAGTCAAACTCGGCTCAGTCTGATAGATGAAAGGTAGAGCTCAAATGACCATGGCACAGACTGTGGTCCTCTCTTTTTATTATATGTACAGTGATGTTAACTGTCCATTGTAATACAAGTAAAGACTCTGAGTAAGAGAGGGATGTTAAAGAGCAGTAGGAAACCTCTTGCCCAGTGTGAGAAGCTTCCTTCAGACTCCCTGAAGTGTTGGAGAAAGGGCAGAACTAGGGATAGAGACACACCCTAAAACCATCCCCTAACATGGCCAAAAAAAAGCATCAAAGGGATCACCAAATAATTGACAAATACATCAAGCCAGGTGTAATTCTTGAAAATAAAAAATTGTTGATGATCTACAATTTGCTTAACACTATAGTAAGGAAATTTAAGATTCTAGTATGTTATGTAAAGAGGAATAAATTGTGATAAATGCATCTGTCACTGAGGAAATGCTCCATGGTTTGAGATCTTGAAGTGTAAGTTTTGTACCATCCTATTTGAAAAGGACTTGGCTATAACATCACCTCCTGCACCTTCTGGGAGATTAGAATTTTCTCTAGATATAAAGTAACCATTTAATTTATTGTCCAGATTGGAAAACTTTTAAAAGTAAAGGGAGATGTTATTAATCATTATGCCATGACCACAGGTATAAACCAAGACAGTCACCGTAGTTAGAGGGAACAATTAAAAATCATTCATTCGTACAGAGCTAACATCAAACGTTTGACATCTTGCTAAAACATCTTTGCTCTTCTTCAGTCTTTTTTGACCTCGATTTTTCATGTGTTTCCTTGATGGAAATTGTGCAGAGGAAAGTGAAGATAAATACATATTCTGAGTGAAGGTTTTACATGGTAGCTAATTTAGTTAAAATGTCTTTTAAACATTGTCTTTGGATAATCTAAGTTGGCTATAGAACAACAGCACAGTGGGAGGCTAATAGAGATTTAGCAACCTGCGGCTAATTGTAATTTCTTTTGGCTTCCTTTCTAAATCATTTTCTTTTTTTGTCTTTGAATCCCTGTCTCCATTTATGTCAGGTGTGGCCTAGTCACATCTGCATCCCAGCTCCATGGAACAGCTGTCCACCTGCCCCTGAGGCCAGGACAGGTCGAGGTGGAAAGTAGAGCTGTGGGATTTGGACATAGCTGGAACTGCCAAATCTGTCACCTATCCAAACCAAAAAAAGAGCCTGTTAGTACAGAATCCTACAAAAGAAGTTCTTACATGGTAAGGATTTGAGATATTCCTGTACAACACTGGGAAGTCTGCTTTCTAACATTCTCCCATGGATTGCTCACAGGAAACCTATTCCATCTGCAAGTCATTCTATCCCCAGACTTCCTTCCACTGATGGAATTCTATTTTCTTCCCCCAAACATCCTTACCTCGTGATGACTGAAAAAACAATGTACCAACAGGGAAAAGGAAACCTAAAGAAAATGAGTTCGGCAATAACATCACCACCTCCTCAAAGGGCAAGCTCAGTTATTCGACAGGTGCATGTTCCAGGCACAGGCTTTGAGCTAAACATGCTTCTCCAGAGAGGGCCCTTCCAGAAGCACAGAGACTGTTGCTGATAGGAATTTGGATACTCCTAAATTCTTAGGTGTGGGAAGAAATGTTCACTTGAAAAAAGAATAACGGAAAGCTGTGACTTGAGATTTTTCTGGAGTCAATGAATCTTCCCAAAGTTTCCTTTCCGAAGCCAATTAGTTAGCTGAATCCTAGAAGCAGATATTTGGAGTAGGGCCATACAGGATAAGTAGGAGTCTGGGTGGTAGGAATAAGGATTGGAAAAAGCAAAAAGCCAACCAAGAAACGGTATGAGCACGTGAGAATAAATTTATGAAACATTCCTGCCATTTTGAAAAAGCATAAACAATTTGGGGAGTGTTTGATATACCAGACGCATGGCAGAAGATGAAACAGGAAACCAAAGAATCATTTAGTTCAGTGATCTTTAACCTGTGCTGCCTGGAGGCCCTGGACTCCAGCAGAGCTGTTGCAGGGTCCCCTCAGGTGTAGGTGAGATTTGAGTATCAGAACAAAGGGGCATTGAGCAAGGGTCTGATCTACCAGCCCTACTTCATTCCATACACATCTGAGCTTAAGGTAAGAGTTCATCTGAAGAAGAATAAATTGTTGAAAATTTGGTGACAGAAGATTCTAGTTTAATACCTGACAGTCCTAAACCAGGGGATGAATGGATTTGCCAAGGTCAAACATGAAAGTAGTAATACAATCAAAGTAGCAACCGGATCTCCTGGCTCTGGTCCGGTACTTTTTCCATTATGTAATTTGAAGTGAGGATCTTCCCAGAATCAAATAAGAAAGTGAAAGAGGCCGAAAAATAGAACCCTTTGTTGGTCAAGAGAACTCTGGTCCCAAACATCATACACACACACAAACACACAAACACACACAAACACGTGCGTGCGCGCACACACACACACACACACCTCACTTGAGAAGACCTGTCCCACTAGTTCCAGGGCTCAGCCATAACTGACACATGTGTCTTATAGGCAGTGTGGGCAAAGAATCGTTCTAACCTGCAGAGCCAATGTGAGTTGAAGAGAATATTAACGATTATTTACAGTATCCCCACTTATCTTCCTGTGCCTCCCAAAATAGGTATATCCACAAGAGAATCCTCAGTTTTCCTGGGTGGGGTGATAGAAAGAAATATCAATTGGTGAAGATAAAAGATTTTTAAATTACTTGAAATCAGAGTCAGCAAGTCACAGCCCTGGAACCAAATACAACACACTTCCTGTTTTTTTGTAAATAAAGTTTTATTGAAACACAGTCATGTCCATTCATTTATTTATTGCCTATGGCTGCTTTTTCCTTTCAAAGGTAGAGCTGAGTAGTTGAGACAGAGAACATATAGCCCACAAAGCCTAAATTTGTTATCTGAAAAAGTTTGATGATCTCTTCTCTGCATAAAGACCTACAGAAATCAGAAGAGCCCAAGAGAGAGGAGGAAACAAAGAAAATAGCCTGAGAGGGAAGGAAGAAGAAAACTATTTGCTGGAGAGTGAGCCATGAAGAAAAACTGGAACATGAGATGTTTAAGATGGATTTTTAGAGTTTTACTGTGTAATATGAAATACAGGTCCCTTGAGAAGAAGACTTCAGTTAAAAAGAAAAACTTGCATTATTTTCCAAAACTTCAGAAATTATATTTGTGATTTTTTTACTGATGCTATGTTCCATGAGATTTGCCTACAGACAGGAAGTCCTGGGCGAATACAGGGATGACCAAGTAGGGCCAGTTACATCTGGGTTAAAAGAAAACATAAAACTCTCAAGAAAGGCATGATGGTAAGTGTAGGGCAATTGAGACGTCCTTCCCCTCTCTCCCTGTCCAATGCCATTCCATCCTAGACACGAGATGACCAAAGAATTCATGGGGAGGGAGGTCGATATAATAACAACAATGACTACTGCTTGATCATTGGATGTGTTATCAGACACTTCCTATTCATTACCTCATTGAACTTCCAAGAGAACTTTAGCAGGAGGTACTCCATTTTACAGGTAAAGAAACTGAGGCACAGGAAAAGCAAGTGGTATCATAGTGCCAAAGCAGAGATATAAACCTGACTTCAGAGGCACCCTCATACTTTCTTCTCCTACTCCATCTTCAGAGAGCTTCGGGCCACAGTTCAACCAGTGATGCTAGCCAGATGCCCACCTGGATGTCAAAGCCTAACAGACCCTACAGACCACCTCCTGAGATGTCCTGAAAGCCCTGCAGGAGATCCCAGCTGGTTTTCACCATCTATATACCTGGTATCCCTGTGCTCCTACTGTATCCCTCCTTTCCAGGGAATCCTTCTGTTTCCTTCACCCCACCTTGGCTCTCTTCTCACCAAATCCTTTAATTCCTGCTCCCTTTCTGGTATTATTTTTATTTATTCATTCCCTGGAACTTAAGGCTGCTTACAAAGATACTTACAATATAGCACAATCACAAAACAGTAGGAGTCAATGGGAAAAGTATGTTTCTAAAGGAAATGCTGGACAAGTGCTCATAAACAAAGCATCCCACAAAGTTTCATGTAAGTGCAAGAGGCTGATTAAACATACTGTTTTGAGTTTCCTAGCAGCCAGGTGGAAGAAGAAATCTATGTCCACACAATTGAAGCAATGTGATTTACTTTTTTGAAGAGAGGCACAATCATTCCTTGTTCTAAAACAAGAAAGTCCAGGAGTTCCTAAGAGAATACCACCATATGCAGTGAACATGATCGTCAGCAACATTTTAGGGTAAATTCTCTGAAAATTCTCAC